CCCCTGGGGTCCATCAAGCCGTTGAACGGCGGGGGGCGGGGCGGGGCGAGGGGGGGAGACCAGCTCGTCAAGGCACCTCCTGCTCAGATCCTCCAAAATCCGCACCGCGTGGCCTCCAAGATGCTCCGGCTGCCCTCTCTCTCAGATTGCGCCCGCAGAAGGGCTCCAGCACGCTGGAGAGGACTCCAGGACGCCCAGCATGGCCTTAAGACGCGACAGGAGGCCCCCAAGACTCACCGAGAGAGCCCCCCTCAGTGGATCTCAGGTGGCAACGACCACTGGCCTCCTGAGCGGATGTTGAGAAAGTTCGGGCTCTCGCCTGTTCGAGCATCTGCTGTGGCTCGCTTGGCATTACGCTGCATTGCTTTGCGTGGCATTGCTTGGCGCTGCTTGGAATTGGTTGGCATTGCTTGGGGTTGTGTGGCATTGCGTGGCATTGCTTGGCATTACTTGGGGTTGGTTGGCGTTGTTTGACGAAGCTTAGCATTGCTTGCTTGGTATTGCGTTGCTTTGCGGTGCTTGGAATTGATTGGCGGTGATTGGCATTGCTTGGCGGTGCTTTGCATTGCTTGGCGTCGCTTGGAATTGCGTGGCGTTGCGTCGCGTTGATTGGCGTTGCGTGGCAATGTGTAGCCTTGCTTGGAACTGCTTGGCGTTGAACAGAATGACCACGAAACAAGATCGAGCAACCCAAGGAATGGATTGGGAACACAAGACAACAATCAAAACGAGGAAGGCCACTTCAAACGAACCGAAAACAATCTCAAGCAACCCAAAGATATCCTCTTCCAAAGCAGAAGCAAAATACGACCAAGCAGCTCGAGGAAGGCCTCTCCAAGTACATCCCAAAACACAGGTGAGGGAACAAGGTCAAGGAACCCATTGGAAGGACTGGCCTCAACTAGTAGGGAAACAAGACCACGCAACCCGAAGAAGGCTAACTGGTGCAGACCTCGCACCCACCAGCTCTTCAGAATAAACCCGGCGCGATCCCAAATAGGGGAACCCTCATAAACTGAATTGGTTGGTACTGCTTGGCAATACGCTGCTTTGCTTCGCATTGCGTTGAATTGTGCTGATTGGCACTGCGTTGCATTGCTTGGCGGTGCTTGGACCTGCTTGGCGTTGCGTTGCGCTGCTTGGCGTTGCGTGACCGTGGCATCGCTTGGCATTGCTTGGCACTGCTTGGCTTTGCTTGGTGTTGCTTGGCATTGCTTGGAATTGTGTGGTTTTCGCTGGTTCGCTTGTATTGCGTTGCGTTGCCTGGCATTGTATCGCATTGATTTACTCTGCTTTGCGTGGCGTTCCCTGGCATTGCTTTGCGTGGCATTGCTTTGCTTGGCATTGACTTCCATCGCTTGGCATTGATCAGCGTTGCTTGGCGATGCGCGGCATTGTTTGGCGTTGCTTGGCGCTGCCTAGGATGTCTCATAAGCAAGGCCAAGCCACCCGAGGAAGGCAGCAGTGGAGCAAGACAGAAAGCCACCCGAGGAAGGCCTCTTCGTAACAAGTAAGGGGACAAGACCAAGCAACCCGAGGAAGGGCTGGTAGAGAACATAAAGAAGGCAAGACAAAACAGCAGGAGGAACACCTCATCTAGGGAACCAACAAAGGACGTACGCGCCCAGCTATGTACATGAACACGGCCCCTCGATTCGCGAGACCGGCCGCGTTATACGAACAGTTGTGCAATGCGTGCTCTCGAAACCAGCGTGGATTCATGTACATGTACGTCCTTCTTTCGCTCCTGATCACCAGACACACCAAGGAAGCAAGACCAAGCAACCCGAAGAGGGCCTCTCCACGAGCAGTAGAGAAATATAAGACCAGGCGCAGTCAGAGGAAGGCCAGCCGGCGCAGGCCCCGCGCCCGCCAGCTCTGCAGACAGACAGAAAAGAAAACCCGCAGGCAAGCCGAAGTTGGAGAAAGGGGTGAGCAGCCCTCTGGCGAGCCGACCTGGGGAATCACGGGAGACGAGAGAGCGGGTGAGGGAGGGGGGCCGTGGAGACGGAGTGCTGTTGGAGGAAGAAGGGCTGAAGAAGGGAGCGAGAGAGAGGGAATAGTGCAAGAGGAATGTGAGGGGGAGCATCCTCCCCCTCCGCCTCCTTAAGAGTCCACATCTGGAACGTAGAGCACGAGAGGAACGAGCGAGCGAGCGAGCGCCCTGCGTGCCAGCTCCTGGAGGAGCGGTCCCCTAAAGGGCAGGCGGCACAAAGAAGATAGCGGCTAAAGAAAAATCGTGCACAATACAACCGAAGAGCCTGACGAGCACGCGCGGAGGGGCTCTTGTCCGGTGACGCCGACAAAGTATGAAAGCAACAACTGTGGTGAGAAAGACGCAGGGGGGGGGAGGAGGACGACGAGGGGGAGGGGGACGACGACGACGACGACGACGACGACGAGAGGAAGAGAGTCAGATATCACACAGCGATAGCCGTCTTCGCGCACAACTCTCCACACGGCGGATCGCGGGAGCTGTCAAGGCATGCCGGCGACTCATCTATGGTCGCCTCGTTGGGTCTTCCAGGCGGCCTGTAGATATGTCGAGGCACTGGCCGACAAGACCATTGTATGACCTCTTCGGGCTGACGCCAGACTTTCGAACAAAAGCGTCCATCGCGCCCTGGATGTCATCCGAAGACGTGGCGGAATCAATGAAGCCGCGCGCCGCCAAGAACTGGCGGACTGCGTCGTCGGAGGGGGGGACAGAGAGCTCCCCAGTGCACGAGCTAGACAAGCAAACATGTCGTATCTTAGCCAACTTGTCTTGAGTCGTATCGCTCAATTCAATTTGGATGCCAATCTTGCGCAACTCTCTACGATTCCGAGTTGTACCTAAAAACGCATCAACTGCCTCATCTAAATCAGCGTTTCTGGTGTCGTCCATATACCCCATTCTGCGCAACACCTCTTCGGCTAAATAAGGCGAATCGTTTACGATGAACGGCCCACCTCCTTTTGCTTTTGCGGCGCAGCTCGAATTGCCATATCTGGAGATTGTGCTTGCCGTCTTATTCCGTCTGGCGACCGGGAAAACAAAGGCCAGGTCACCGCGCCCAACGTTCCACTGGATGCGGGGTTTCCGGAGCATGTCCGTAGCAGAGCTTATTGCATGCAAAGTTGGATATGCCACCAGCTCCCCAAGCATATTGTCGAACCAAAATCGTGCGATGGATGGGAGCATTGGGTCACTGTGTGTGGAGCGGTAATTCAAGGTCTGCAGCCTGTCCGATACCATCTGCAGAAGCTCACTGTCGTACTCCAACTCCTCGACAATACCCAAAGTATTAGCTTCCATACTGCCGCTTCCGTCAGCATGGAGGATGCCGAGAACTCTCGCAAGTTTCATGTACAGAAGAACAACAAGCTATACAAACATACTTTCTCGGAGGTCTGCGCGGATCTTTTGGATCTGCGTTTTATCCCCCTCCCTGACGCGTGGAGCGCGTCAGGGGCGGCGCCGGAGGCGCCGCCACGGGGGCCGAACGCAGATCCAGGAAATCCGCGCGGACCTCTGAGAAATCATGTGTATGCAGTGTTAGGTTCTTCGAATGTCATCCGCAACTAGGGAACGAAAAATGACATAAGCACAAAAAAAACCCAAGGAGGTCCGCGCGGATTTCTCGGATCCGCGCTGGACCCCCCTCCCTGACGCGCGGAGCGCGCCAGGGGCGGCGCCGGAGGCGCCGCTAAGAGGGTTCCCGCGCGGATCCGAAACATCAGCGCGGACCTCCGGGTTTTTATGTTTACTCCAGATTTCGTAATAAAAGGGAGGGGGTCGCTACCCTCCCAGACGAGAAGTTTTAGACCCCGCCCGTGGGAGAACCCTCCAAAACATCGTCCCCAGACCCCCCCAGGCCCTCCAAGATAGCCTGGAAGAGACCCCCCCCGAAATGAGACCCCCTCCCTTTTTTACGAAATCTGGAGTATGTCATTCTTCGTTCCCCTATCAACACCTGTGGCTTCAACGATCTCGGCGCCCGCCCTCTGAAACTGCCGCATGAGACCGGGCTGAGGGCGCGGAGAGGACACGGCGCATCCCTTTCCAGCTCTCACGACGGCCGGGGGAACGTGAGGACCCGGAGTCGGGAGCCTCGGGTCGGCCCGACGGGGCTGGCAGGACAATGACGAGACCCGATCTGAAATCTGACGCGACCTCCCGGTGCAAGCGTCCCACGAAAACAGGACCGGCGCAAAATTGGGGGACGTGCCAGCCGAGCACAAAGCGTCGGCAGACACGAGCTCTGGCGAGTTCGGGTCTGATACGCTGTCCCGAGCTGTCGCGAGCCAGCTCGAGGAAGCCAGAGAGCATCAAAACTCAGGACGCTCCAACCAAGAATCAGGACGCTCCAGGTCAAAAAGCGTCGGCAGACCCGAGCTCTGGCGAGTTCTGGAGAAACCAAAAGGTACCGATACCGCGACTCCCTGGACCTTTCCTGGGGTGCGTTCTGACCAGGATTTCGAGGCGAATCCAGCGGTGGCGACGAGGGGCTCCGAGGAGGCCCAAGAAGAGGAGCACCTGGCGAAGGGTAGAGGTATGGGTACGTTTTCCTCCTCTCAGAGCTCTGGCGAGTTCGATCCTTACGCTGTCCCGAGATGTCACGGGCCAGCTCGATGAAGTCCTTGTCCTGCACCAGCAGCGCGATGATATCGACGGGCGACGAGAGCAGGCGCCGCGCCTCTCGGAAGATGGCGGCGTCGTTCGGATCCCCCGTCGGGTCGCCCTCCCTGGACGTCGCGAAAAACTGGACGCCCCTGGAGTCCACCCAGGCCTCAGGAACATCATCATCAGCACCAGCGCCGCCATCGGCATCACCACCATCATGATGATCATCCTCCTCATCATCAGAAGCATCATCATCACCACCATCATAAGCATCATCAGCACCACCATTGCCATCATCAGCATCATTATCACATCATCACCATCACCTTCATCATCACCACAATCATCATCACCACAACGATTACCATCACCATCACCATCATCATCACCATCACCACCATCACCATCACCACCATCACCATCACCATCACCGTAACCATCACCATCACCATCACCATCACCATCACCATCATCACCATCATCAGCATCACCATCATCATCATCGTCGTCGTCATCATCATCAGCAACATCATCTTCATCATCACCATTATCATCACCATCACCATCCTCATCCTCATCACAATCACCACCATCACCATCACCACCATCACCATCACCACCATCACCATCACCGAACCATCACCATCACCATCGTCATCACCATCACCATAATCACCATCATCATCATCATCATCACCATCATCATCATCATCGTCGTCGTCATCATCATCAGCATCATCATCATCTTCATCATCATCACCATTATCATCACCATCACCATCACCATCACCATCACCATCACCATCGTCATCATCAACATCACCATCACCATCATCATCGTCATCATCACCATCTCCATCACCATCACCATCACCATCACAATCATCATCATCATCATCATCATGATCAACATCATCATAACTGTCATCATCATCATCATCACCATCATCATCATCAACATCATCATCATCATCATCATCATCATCATCATCATCATCATCATCATCATCGTCATCGTCACAGGATCTTGCTTGCCAATTGCCAGTACCAATGTACAGCAACACACCACAGCACGCAGGCCGACACGAGGACCTCGACCCGGCCGGCCTGGCCCACCCAGACAGAGCGAGGCGCCCCCGCGAGCGCAGACCCCCTCTCGAGCCATTCGCTCCCCTGCTGCCCCGTGCAGCCCGCCCCCCTTCCCAGCTCCCAGCCGACGACCGATCCTTGCCGGCGGCCCTGCGGCTCCCGACGTCGCCTCCTTAAGGGGGCCGTGCTCTGCCTCTCGTGGCCCCCCCGGGCCCAGGCACTCACGGGCCTCCGAGAGGCCCCCGCGGGCGGAGGCACAAGAAGAGCTCACGCCGCAGCCTGCGCAAGCAGACGTGGCGACCCTGCGCCACGTCTTGCGCGAGCCGCCAGCGCGGCACACCACTGAAGGGGCCCTGGGACACACAAATAAATACACACAAATAAACATATTCGCCATATTTTCCCATATTTCCTGGGTTTTGGTCTTCCCCCCACTGCCCATATGTTCTTATATTTTCTTTTCTGGGGGATCGACGATTACTTGTGTCTGTGTGTTTTTCCCCTCCTGAACCACGAAGGGAAGAGAGAGCGCCTGCGCGCGAGCCTACACGCGGGAACCTTTTACGCGCCAGCGCCCGCGCCGTCGACCCCCCGCTGCCCTGCATCGCTCACCAGCTAGGAGGCACACGACCCCCGCGCGTGCCGCGTGGAGGCCTGGAAACACTCCCTCCGCCTCGCTCTCGGGCCGGGCGACAGGGGGGGATGGCAAAGAGAGGGTTGACAAACAGCTCACGTATAGCTGATTTTCCCCCGGCGCCTCCCGGCGCGGGAGGCGGCGATGCATTTCCCCGGCGCCTCCCGGCGTCGGGAGGCGCACCATGTATCGAGGACTGGGCCCCTCGGTGGGGCCGAAGCCAGCTGCATGCAGCAGATCTCGTAACCCCCCCTTTCCCTTTCCCCCCCTTTCGTCAACCCTCCCCCCCCTCCTCCTCCATCCTCCTCCTCCTCCTCCTCCTCCTCCTCCTCCTCCCTCCTCCTCCTCCTCCCTCCTCCTCCTCCTCCTCCTCCTCCCTCCCTCCTCCTTCTCCTCCTCCTCGTCCTCTTCCTCCTCCTCCTCCTCCTCCTCCTCCTCCTCCTCCTCCTCCTCCTCCTCCTCCTCCCCCTTTCGTTCGGCCTCGCTCTCCGGCCGCGCACGTCCTCGCTCCGCCGACGGTGGCCGCCCCCCGATCCCGGCCCGGCCGGGGGACCTCCGCGGCCTCCGCGGGCCACGGCCGCCCCGCGTCGTCCCCCCTTGCAGGGCGGAGGAGGAGGAGGAGGAGGAGGGAGAGGGGGAGGAGGAGGAGGAGGAGGAGGAGGAGGAGGAGGAGGAGGAGGAGGAGGAGGAGGAGGAGGAGGAGGAGGAGGAGGAGGAGGGCGGAGGCCGGGAGGGAGCGGAGCTCGGCGAGGGCTTCCAGCCGTGGCTCCCGCGCCGCGTCTCGAGCCGCGGCCCCGCCGCGCCGCCCGGCCGCCGTATATAGCGCGCCCCGCTTCGGGCAGCATTGGATGGACGCTGGCGCGGGGACAGCAGTGAAGGGGCACCAGGACACACCAATAAATACACACCAATACATACACACAAATAAAAGGATTCCCCATATCTTCCCCTATTCTCTGGCTCTTTGTCTCCCCCCCCCCACTTCCCAAAGTTTCCCATATTTTCTGGGGAATCGACGATTGATTGTGTCTGTGTGATTCTTTCCCTCCTGAATCTGACAAGCAGCACGAACATGTGACGAGGAGGTGTATCCAGCCGTGGCGACGAGGGCCTCCCAGGAGGCCCACGGAGGCGAAGACGACTTCCGCCCTAGCAATCCGCCTCTTTTTCGATATGACCCATGTGGGTCTCCTTGAACTGCGTAGACATTTCCATGCGCTTCAATGCATTCTTCCGCACCTCCCGCGGAGGTCGGAAGGTGTGGAAGGTGGAAGTGCAGGGTGGGTACCTTCCCAAAGATCCGATGCCGACCCGAATCCACTCCCCGGAAGTCCCGACCCATTCCCCGGCACGGGTTTGTCATCCTGAATCGCTTTTTGACGGTCCTGGGGCCCTGGCAGGGCCCCCAGGGGCCGAAATCTGCGAAAAACACCTCCGTCTTGCTTTCCTGGATGCGTCGGATCTCTGGGCCTGCCTCCTCCCAGAGTTGGGCGCCCGAGTTATCCGGGGTAACTCGGGTCCGGGGTAGCTCGGGCTTGGATTCCCGAAAAAGGACCCGAGTTAGCCCTGACCCGAAGTACCCCTGATGATGTGGGGCTCTGGACGCCCGAATTATCCGGGGTAACTCGGGTCCGGGGTAAGTCGGGTTCGGATTCCCGAAAAACGAACCCGAGCTAACCCTGACCCGAGTTACCCCTGATGATTCGGGGCTCTGACAGAGTCTCCCGAGGCGCCCGCAGTGGGCACGCTGCCTGTCCTTCTCCGCTGTCTCCGGAGGCCCCTGCGGGTGCCCAGGGCCCGCCAGTGGCCCCCGTTAAGAGGCGCCCCGCCGGCGGAGCCCTCGCTGCGCATGCAGGGGTCCGCCCCGCGGACGTCGTCGTCGGCGTCGTCGTCGGCGTCGTCGTCGTCGTCGTCGTCCGCGTCGTCGTCGTCGTCGTGGGGGGCGTCGTCGTCGGCGTCGTCGTGGTCGTCGTCGTCGTCGTCGTCGGCGTCGTCGCCGTGGTCGTCGTGGGCGTCGTCGTCGGCGTCGTCGTGGGCGTCGTCGTCGGCGTCGTCGTCGGCGTCGTCGCCGTGGTCGTGGTGGGCGTCGTCGTCGTCGTCGTCGGCGTCGGCGTCGGCGTCGTCGTCGGCGTCGTCGTCGGCGTCGTCGCCGTGGTCGTCGTGGGCGTCGTCGTCGTCGGCGTCGTCGCCGTGGTCGTGGTGGGCGTCGTCGTCGTCGTCGTCCGCGTCGTCGTCGTCCTGGGGGGCGTCGTCGTCGGCGTCGTCGTGGTCGGCGTCGTCGTCGTCGGCGTCGTCGCCGTGGTCGTCGTGTGCGTCGTCGTCGGCGTCGGCGTCGGCGTCGTCGTCGGCGTCGTCGGCGTCTCCGCCCCGCCCCCCAGGTCGCCGGAGGCCAGCGACGGGCGCGCGGCCACGGGTCCCCGCCCCGAGAGCCGACGCCACGCACAACTCTACAGCGCCGTGGAAAGCCCTGGGCCCCTCCTCCGCCGCCGCCTCCTCCTCCTCCTCCTCCTCCTCCTCCTTTCCTCCTCCTTTCCTCCTCCTTTCCTCCTCCTCCTCCTCCTCCTCCTCCTCCTCCTCCTCCTCCTCCTCCTCCTCCTCCTCCTCCTCTTCCTCGAGCCCATCTTTCCACAACGCTGTTCGACCCACATCGATCCGCCAGGCCCCGGGGCCCGACACGAGGCCAAGTCGCCTGCTGCGACACGAGGAAACAGCGGCGCCAGAGTCTCAGGGGACGACGCTCGGGCCTCGACTGAAGGCCTCCTGGATGGGGTCCGAGCGCACATGTGGTCGGAGGGCTGCGCCACATCGCCAATGCTCGGCGACGCATCGACGATGCATTGGCGATGCATCGGCGACGTCGGCGGCGCACAGGCGACGTTTGCGTGGAGGCAATCCGCATCCACGCCAAGCTGCATCGCTCCTGCCTCGGCGACGCGGCGCGGTCCTCCAACCCCGTCTGCTAGCATAGGGGCCTTCCCCCAGGACGACCTCTTCTACGAGACCTATGTTGCATCACAGCATCAATTCGGCCCCTGACTTTCGTCCTGGGCTCGGTTTAGTGAAGTGATGAATTTCGAGGTCCTTGCGTGGGAAAAAACACCACTTCACTAATCTGGGGCCCCTGGGGCCTCAGTGGGCCCTGGGGCCCAAAATTAGTGACGTGATGGTTTTCGGGCCTCGGATCTTCATCCTGGGTCGCTTCCTGGTAGCCCGTGGGCCCGCTTCCCCCACTCGGCGGCGCGCACAAGTAGGGGGTGGAGGGAGGGGGGAGGGCTTCTTGGAAGGAGCCTGCTTCCTGGAAGGCGCCGGCCCCACATCTGTAACTATAGGCAAGGCCCGCGCCCTCCAAGAAGCAGGGGTGCCTCTCAGAAGCCTTCCCCCCCTCCCCCCGCCCCCCTCTGCGCGGGGCCGACTCCGGCCCCTGGCGACGACCCCGTCCCCTG